GTGGAAGACAGTGTGGTGATTCCTCAAGGACCTAGAAATAGAAATTCCATTTGACCCAGCAATCCCATTACTGGGTATATATCCAAAGGATTATTTTAAATTATTAATCTCATTGGTCAGAAACCCAATCAGAAACATATATGCACATATAAAGCAACCTCTCTTCTTTGTTCAACTCTGTCTCATTTCTGCATGGGCCTCAGTGGATGATTTCTGAAGAAGGAGATGAAATCTCAATGCTTGCTAATTAGTCGTCGTTCACTGTTTTCCAGGAAGCATCCACATTTCTAAAAATTTATGGTCTAGTCCAAACTGTGATCAAGGTCACCATGGAACAAAGTGGATATTCTGATACAGAGATGAAGCAAACATGGAGTCCAGGTTGATTCTCAACCTACCTATGAGGTCAGGTGAAAGCTTCAGACATCAGTTCCCCATGCGTAACATCAGGACCAAATTAACTATCCATCTTCCTTTACAATTTATTAGAATATCATATTAAATGTGAAACATGATTAAACAGGAGCATCATATTTGAGAGGCAAGTCATTATTACATGTAAATTTTAAATAGTGTTCAGGAAATATTAGAATTATGAATAAATCCCCCATAAAAATATCTAGGAGATTACCATTTAGACTCATGACATGAATGGAACTTACTGCAGACTGATTTCTCCAGATAAGAAAAATTACAATTATCTTTTCAAAAATAACCCAGGTAGCTAAACAGTTTCCAGTTTTCCTCCTTAGGTATAAAAATCTTCTTGTGAAGTTCACGTAAACCACATGCTGCTCCTCTATAACTAGTCAGCCACACAAGATCTTACATTGTATTTTTGTTCCCAATCAGAGACAAGTATGTAAGTTATTGATCCTTATAAAGTACTAGAAAATGAAACCTCAGAATTGCCTATTATTCACACAGAAATCTTCCCACATGGCAAAGTTTAGCACCTGCTCCATTACTGCAAAGCCTGAATTCACAGGCTAATCAGCAGTGTGACTGGTCAGCTGATCCACAGAAATATTATTTGTGTTACTGGATCTGAACTTTTGTTATTGAAAAACTGAAACATCTGATCTTCGCTTTTGCTGTGGACCAGCTATGCTACATCTAGTTGCTATACTAAAACATGGATTGAATAAATTATCTTTAAATTATTTTTTATTTAATTGTCCCTAAATCCATAAGCATATTTTTTCAAGAGTACATCTCAGTGATATTTTCAGTACAAGGGAAGTAGTTAGAAAATAGAACACTGATTACTAGATTAGGGATCTAGGATCTATAGTAAGCACTATATCCCAGTAAAGGCCAGGGCTTCAGAAAAATACAGAGTAGATTTTTCACTCCTGGTTTCAGCATTTATGAACTGTAGGCTCATTACTTAACCTCATGGAGTCTCTTTGTTAAAAACACCTGATAATAGCATCTACTTTGCAGGACTACTATGAGAATTGGATAAAAATACAAATAGAAGCATATAAAGATAAGGAATAAAATCAATACATTGCAGTGAAGCCATTATAATTGCCATGATTAATTTCATTATACAATATGGATTTATGGAATCAACATTCTTGTAACAAGGCTTACAGGCTCTTTGAACATAGACAAGTAAGGGCACTTTTGTAGAATGTAGAGCAGGAAGTGAATGATGCCTGCAATATCGGAGTTGACATTTTGGCCCCTCAGGGTAGGAAATGATGAGAGGAGAGGCCAAGAGCTCTAGAAAAACTTAAGAGAGGGGTCAATGATATGCAAAGCAGAAAACAGCGTTGGGGAAGCAACAGCGTGAATTTAAATATCAAAGGTGGAGCATCTCTGGGGACTGAGAGGATCCCAGGTGGTCACTTAACTGGACTTTGAAGATGGAGGTGGAACTGAGACTAAAAGACAGAGGGATTGGCTCATCCCTCCCAGCATGCTGGGCCAGGGGAGCAGGGTGGCATGCCATCATCACAAAGCCTCAGCCTGAGCTGGAAATCGTCACAGCCCCTTGATACAGAGCAGGAGAGGTAGGGGTGCTTTTACTTTTCTGAAATCAGTTAGCCAAAGCGAAGATTAATTTCATATATGAGTATATATAAATATATATATATACACATATATACATAAAAATGATAATATGAATAGGATAATTATGAAGCATTTAACATTTCTAAATATTAATGTTCTGGCTACTGTTCTAAGTACTCTTTGTAAATCAGCTAATCTTCACAATAGGAAATAGACACTATTATACCATTGAATGGACATTACCAGTTGGCATAGGTAAGAACAAAGGAACCCAGGGATCGAATGGGGCAGGCTGGCTCTGGAACCATCTCGTAGGCTCAAACGTCAATGCCTCTCAGCCATGCCTCGCGGTTCCTGAGGATTACCACATGTCAGGCTCTGCTAAGCATCTGCTATTAACGTACCATTTAATCCTGAAAACACTCCATTTTGGTTTGTTATGTTTAGGCAGGTGCTACAGGTTGGTTTTCTTTGTGTTTTTCTATTTTTTCCCATACTAAGCATATTTTTAAATGAAAAATCCCATGTAAAATGCCAGATTAACGATTTCCCTTGATTAAAAAAAAAAAAAACTATCCAGCCATACTGAGTCTCCACATCAGCACTTGCCAGTAACTGGCATATGTGACTTCTGACATGAATTCTGCTCCCCCCTTCCACTACCAACTTCACTGCCCCTTAATGCCCACACCTAACCTAACTTCTAATCACCTGTCTGATCACTGTGGACATATGGGTATGTGACACCTATCATAATTATATCTGTGCATTAAAAAAAAAAAAAAAGAAAGCTAAAAAGCTGTAGGACTTAAATGTTCAGATTAGACAGTCCAGGTTCAAACTCCAAATCCACATTCATAAGCTCCTCTTTTCTTAGGCAAATGTCTTAATCTCTTTAAGCCTCATTATTCTCACATTCAAAATAGGGTTAATAATAATGCTTAACTGAGAGTGTTCTTATGAAATAATTAAATCAGATAATGCCTGAGAAGAATTTAGCTTGGAATTCGATATTAATTTGTATTGCTGTTTTTCCTAAGAATACCAGGGAGTTAGTATATAAAAGTCATATATGCCATCTAAAGCAATCAGGACCTCAGCACAGATTGGGGTAGATGAGGTTGTGTCTTGTGCTGAAAAAGGCAGAGGAGAGGAGCAGGTCGGGGGGACGGTGGGCCAGCATTGCTGCTGGCGGGAGTGCTGCCCAAGAGCTGTCCCAGAAAGAGCCCAGCGGCCATCATTCCCTGTGTGGCATTGACTTTGTAAATGAATTTCTCTATATGGCTGAAACATACACATAGTGAAACACTGAGTCACAGGTTTTTGTAATTCCACCATTTTCTCAGTCCTGAGACAATAGATCCACAATTTCTCCTCTAACAGGTGCATCTTTTGAGTTCCTTCACAAGGTCCTGTAACACCCATTCTACAGGGCTGCCACCTTGACCCTGGCCCACAGCTCCTCATCTGTGAAGCAGATGAAATACACCTTCACTAGCCTCTTTGTCTTCAACCTGTCCCTAACTTCAAGCCTCATGGTAAACTCTTCCAGTATGAACTGTCCTCAACAGTGTTTGACATCACCTTGGTTTATGCAATTTTGCTGTGGCTTCCACCAGCCTCCAGAATAGAATCTGAAAGTGCCAGTCATCACTGGGGTTCCCGGCTGGCACCTGGGGTATTTATCCACACTTGCACCCTGACTGCCCCCAGCACTGTGTCTTTGACACCTCCCTGTCTGTGCTCCCTCCTCTGCGTGGACTGGACATGCTCGGCGTGACTGCCCTCTATTGCATCCACATCACATCCAGCCAAAACCCATGCAGCCAACGCACCGGAACCTGACACTGTCTATCAGGGGTCAGCAAACCTTTTCTCTAAAGAACCAGTGAATACGTATTCCAGTCTTTGCAGGCCAACCAGTCTGTTTCCCACCTACTCCACTCTGCCCTTAAAGCAGGAAAGGAGCCGTAGCCAACAGGTACAGAAATGGGTGGGGCTGGGTCTCCATTAAACTTTATGGACACAAGGATCTAAATTTCATGAGTCGCACAATATTATTTACCTTTTGATATTTCCCAACCATTTAAAAATGTAAAAACCATTTTTGGCTCATGGGCTATACAGAAAAAAGCAGTGGCCACAGCAGACCTTAGTTGACTGACTCTTGCTTTCTATGCATACTGTTTGCTGATCCACACTCTTTTTTTACTTTTTAAAATTGAGGTGTAACTTACACTTGGCAACTTTAAGCACATGACTCTTAAACAAACAGCCCGGTGAATACTGACTTGTGTATATAACCACGCTACTGTCAAACAGATGAAGATATAAAACGTTTCCAGCAGCCTCAGGCTCCTCAAGGATCCCTTCTAATCACAACCCAACAGAAGCCCAGTCTCTTTTTTAACTTCTCTGTTGCCAAAGCACTCTCCATGCTTCCTTTCATAGGCCTGGGTAAAGCAATGGGGAAATGACACCGTGCAATCCAAACTTTCACAGAGCAGAAAGAAATCCAGAAGACAAAGGTGCATAAATGAAACTTCGGATATCATTAGCTATTACAGCCACAGAGAAGAATGTCTTTTCCTTTCAACGACGGGTGATATATGATTAGAAAAACTGAAAGGCAATATGCTAGTCCACATTCATTTTCCCAGCAGTCTCGTGCTGACACTGCATTTCCTTACCTGGGTCAAGGTGAGCGTTGCCTGTCTGCAGGTGCTGCACTGTACCCTGAGTTTTCCCGGCTGCACTCTTTGACAGGGGCCTTTGCAATAAACATAAAAGCTGTTGTAGACTGGTCTACCTGCTGGGGAAGAAAAAGCAGAGGAAGTGGCTAATAATGCTGAATCCAAATTAAGATAAGAAATTCTTTTAAAGCTTGTGAGAGGCAAATTTTAAAACTCAGTCCTCAGGAACATTTTGAAACATTACTGGAATAAATATTCCAATGAGAATAAAACAATTTAATTTAGAAAGTCTAACTTTATGCTCCAAGAATGAAATCTTTTCTTTCTTTTGCCAACAGGCCTGTGACTTACTCAGCAAAGTAAGCAGCCTGCTGCCAAGAGAACCGGCCAAGTGTATTTACAACACAGTAAAATCAAAGGCACTCTCTGCCGTGGAAGTTTTAAAAGATGACAGGAATTCTTCCAGGATGCTCCTGAATTCTATTTCATGCTTTTGGACACAGTTTTGAAGACTATAGATTTTCCATCTCAAAATCTTATCTGTAGAAGAAAACCAGCCCATTTCTAATGATATGAATGATATGATCACAGTTTGCTGGGTTTCTAGGGAAAACTTTCCAACTCACAGTCACACATAAAATAAGAAAAGAGGCCAGCCCTGAGGAGCTTTCACAAACCAAGCAGCTATGCACAGAAATGGGGGGTTTGCATTTCATTTATGATCTCTCTCACTAGGCAAACACCATTCAAACAATACATTTTCAAGAGACCATATAGGAATAGCTAGTAAACTCGGGAAATTTAATCATCTTATACTTCCACATCTGTTATGAATTAACTTTATTAAGAAGCACTTATCAGTAATACAACCTCCTTCCTGAATTTCCAAGTTTTGAAAATTATTAAATACTTCCTTCCTTTAATTCTTACCTGGGTAGGATAATATAACAGATTATGACATAAAAGTTTCTTTGAAATTTTATTAAGATCATCAGAGGCATCTAGAAATAATAGTTAAGTATATTTTTAACATTTGGAATGAAAATTTTCAGCCTCACAAATGCATATGGTCTATTCAAAACAACTAGAACGAAAATAAGGAAAAAAATGAGAGATTCTGCAGTCCTTTGCAGCTCCATTTGTTTCACTAATTTACAAAAAGAACTTCCACAGACATATTGGATTATCATTTGTTTAGCCACCTTTGCTAATATTGTAGGTGACAATACTTTGCAAAATTTGAAGTACAACAAAGATGTAAAGTTTTATAGTTTTATAATTTCTTCGCAAAATATTTTATAATTATTACTCTATAAAGATTAATATTTAGTTTCCAGTGGGAAATGGAAGATAAAATGTAAATACATGTTTGCATTCATGTGAAAGTACTATTTTCTAACACGTCCGTGTAACTTTAATGCTTTAATATAGAGGATGTTCAAGTACATAATGTCACATTGCTATTAGCAAACATAATAATCACATAAAATATTTCATGTGTAATATAAGTACAGCACAGAATCATATATTAATGTTATAGAAATATCTGTAACATAACTGAAATATTTGCAATACATAACTAAATGATAATAGAAATATTCGTAGCAAATATTTGCAACATGCAGAGTATCAAAAGATCACAAGAACTGTGATAATTTTAATGCGCACTAAGGAGAGCTTGGTGAAGGAGGTAGGAAGCTTTACTGTTAAAACCTTTATCAGCAATATGAACAAATCCAATTTCACAATTTTTATAACCTACTGTAAAGGTCAAACAATAAAAAAAAAAGGAGGAAGAAAAGGAACTGGAAAAGCAAAAGCTTTCCAAGGGGAGACAAGGTTGCGGAGACACTAGCAGTATTGAAAGAGGATATTAGCAAGAATTTTACAATATTAAAAGAAGCATCTCAGAAATTGCAGGAAACTAAAGGACTCTTCTCTCTCCCTTAGGGCAATAGCGATGTTTGCAATATTGTCTCAGCTAATGATATACCAAGGCAGAATCTGAAGACTAAGGAACCCTTCCACCTCAGAATGCTACAAGGACTTCGCTAAAGTCCTTCAGAAGTTATTCAGAAAATACTGCATGCCAATGTCTGTGCCCTAGAAGCATACAAGATGACATGCAATCTATTACACACATTGCTTTCCAGAGCCAGCGAGTTGGGGATTAATAGCCAGTCTAAGGAAGATCAAGGTCAGGCCAGTCCCGGCTGCAGCACTTTTCAAGCTGTTGGCTCCACTTGGTCAAGCAGCTGGGGCATCAGGTAAATCTTGAGAGCCCCTCTTCAGAATGGCGTCCCTATTTATTTGGCTACATAACACAATTAAAAGTTGGCAAGGTTTTCTGTGTCATGCTGTGACCTGGACAGCCATGAAAACAAATAACACCCCGACGATCATCTGGGCAATGTTCCCATCGGCCTGGATGAAGGGCCTGAGGTGGAAACTCTTCAATATGGAATCATAACTCTTAGAGGAATGGCAAGGCAATTCCAAAATGACCTGAAACATCTTTCTTGAGGTATGTAGCTGTCCCTAGTCAAGAGTGGGAATCTCCCCCCTTCACTTCTTGGGTCTTAAAATCCTTATTTTCTCTTAGTCAACTCTTCTGTATGGCAGCTTCTTGATTACCTCAATAACTAATGTAGCTCTGTTTGTGTTCACATGAGCTTCCTCTATTTGTATGGCAAGTTTTGAAACACAGAGAACTTTTTCACGAATTGTACAAATCACATCCTTCATTGTAATTCATCACTTGCAGACATTTAGCTATGTTTGGGTGCCCCGCGTGCGTGTGTGTTAGTGTATGTGTGTGACAGCGTGGTGTCTTTGTGTGTGTAGCTGTATACACATTTACTACGTATATAAACTATGTGCTTGAAGGATCTGTGATGAAGTTTCAGACATCGTGTTACTTCACCCCTAAATTCTTCAACATCCTGAAACTATGGATGTTTTTCACATGAAACCATTTAGCTTTTTAAGGGATTTGGTTATTTCGGTAGTTCTATTCGTAGCCTAATCAGGTATACTTTAAGTATACTTACAGACAATGACAGTGGTTTGCACTAATAAAAGATGACAATCCAAAATATTGGGGATTCTCTGGTCAAACCAACTAGATGGTGCTAAGTGAAGCCACTTTAAACAAGTCCCCTGACCATAGCCCTTCACGGTGCTGTACGACTCGGTAAAAAAGGAAGGGTAAGGCACAGCACATCCCAACCTTCTGCTGACCGCAGAAGCCTTCCTGGAATGCTGCATCTTGTGAAATTGCACTTCTCAGAAAAAAAAAAAAATTGGAAAAAATTATCAGAGGAAGGATTCAATCCACTTGTAGGGCTTGATTTCTAGAAAGTAAAACTGCTCAAGTTTATAAACCCAGATTTACCAAAATCTCCTGGAGACTTGCCTAGGGCCAAGTTCCCTCCAACCCAAAGCATCAACAAACTTACATCATTATTTTATCATGTGCCAGAAGATTAAGTCTACTCATGTAACAACTATACAAATAAAGTATGCTAATTTCATTCAGTAGTTCTTTTTTTTTTTCCCTGCAGAGAAGTTAAAAAAAGAAGTGCAGTGAGTTCAGGGCCCTTTTAAAGTGTGAGCCACTGTGGCCATTCAGAGGGTCCACTGGCTTCTACCACTCCTTGGCCCTAGAAGACAATCTTCCTCTTTAGTTTTCTCTCCCGCTTTGCCTAACAGAACCCTCAGTAAAACCTTTTCTTTTCTTTTCTTTTCTTGGTCCAAAAATTTGCTGAAATAATTAACAATACTCACAACATATCAAGTAGAACCCATATTTGAAAAGAACCTATTTTATTTGCTTTGGATTTTTTAGAAACCAGCATAATCTTTAGAGTTGGCATTTTTCTTTTATGTATTTTAGATAAGGCTTAAGCGCCTAAGACAGGATACTTAGGAAGAGTCATTTTGATTCTAAGGGAAACTTTTCATTAACCTCGGAAGTGTCCATCACTGGTTGTCACTGAGAATTTAATTGCTTGGATAATTTGTTTCCTAGGTGGGGAGAGAGTAAGATTTAATATATTTCATATCTTGGTAAAATAGTGTTCAGTATCAACATATTGTAAAAGAGCAAAACAGCAGGAAAAGAACTGATTTTAAGTGATATTTATCATATGAGCATATTAAAATATTAAGTAGAACAATGTTACCCAAGAGAACTCTCTGTAATGATGAAAATGCTCTCCATTTGCACTCTCATATATATATATATAATACACACACACACACACACACACACACACACACACACACCCCCCATATGTAGCCATTAGCTACAACTACCTATGGAGAATTTCAAATTTGGTGAGGAATTACTCTCTGAGTTTTATTAATTTAAAGTAATTTCAATTTAAATAGCTGCATGTGGGTAGCCGCTACCAAACTACAAAGCACAGGAGAAAATAATAAACACCGGTGTGTCTTCCTCCCTCACCAGGAATGTCGGTAACAGGCAATGCTGAGACTCACTGCGCAGTAAAATAGCTTGTTTCAATCTGTCCTGACAGAAAAACAATGTTGGCTTGAGGGGAGGCGAAAGAAGGTTTAACTTGTGGTACCGGGAGTAGGACAGGGCAGGTAGGGACTCTGTAGTGCTAGAGGCAGGGCAAAGCTTCTTGCCGTCATGTCACCTATTTCCTACACCAAGAGGATCAATTCTTGAGATGCACCTGGACAGCAATGGTCCCATCCCTATTTCCATCGCCACCTTTGAAATCTGACCCATACGCTCAAGGTACAGTTAGAATGGCACTTCCTGTAAGATTTCTGCCTTTGATCTCCTCTATCATATGATATTTTCCTAAAAATGACATCTAAGAGAAGGAAAGGGTCTCCAGTGCAGTCTTGCCCCCTTTGATCGGCTGACTTGCGCCAACACCACAGAACCAGCAACTGATAAGGAGCTGCTGGCATGAGGCGTCCTCCCCAGCCTTTATCCAAAGCCCCCCACATTGCCCAGCCTGGCTATTGGTGGTTTCCGCTCCTTCACCCTTGCCTCCTTCTGACTACAGAGTTGTCCTGGCTCCTGGTATCATTAGCTCCCATTTTTCAGTTACACCTGCCATATTCGGTCAGATCAGCTCTG